TCCGTTTATTCATACATTAATTTCATACGATAGGGTGGGTTAGGTGTTGACATCCCCACTGCAGGGGTAAATGAAAGAGAGGTTAAGTAACTCAGTGAAGGTTCTGCAGGGATGTAGGAGAAACCAGGCCTGAAACCTATGTTTCTCATTCCAAGTCTAGTGTTTTTTTTACAGGACAATAGGATGCCTCTCTGTTATTTTTGGTCTTCTTCACAGTTCTAGTTTTGCTCTTTCAGAATTCACATAAACAGCCATTACAGTGTGTTCAGAAAACTAAACATGCATACAAACAAAATACATGGTGGAAAAATAAAATACGAATGCTTCCTAATATTTAATAAACCCAATTGAATATTCTTCCTTTAAGAGCTTAAAATGCAGAGATAGAGAAAGCAAAATAACCAAATCAAATCTACACATTAAAATGACTGTTCTCATAGAAAAAAAAAGCTCCTGTAGCCTTTGACTGTCTGTCCACATCCATGTACACTGAACACTTCAGACGGTGCAGAGATGATGAAAACACACGTGAAAGTAAACAGATAACAGTTGTTTAGTTGCTTTGGTTTTAAGAGCAGTAACTATGGTGAGTTATTAACACTCTACTATGCTTGGTTTCTTTTCTGCTGATTTGCAGTTTGTTCTGTCCTTTGCCCTAGTCTTTCTGGAAATGCTGCTTCAGTTTACTTGTAGCTGGCACAAATGACTTGCATTTTGAAGCTTGTTTTGTGGAATTTTAACAGATCAGCACTTCGAAGCACATTTCACATTCATAAATAAAGTTTCTCTTACATGTCAAAATGAATAACTTTTTTGAGAGTTAATGAATGGCAGCAATTATTTCCCATACTTACCTTGTTTATTGTGTACAGAGTTTGTCTTCGGTGGAAAGCTTTATTAGGAAAAAGGAGAGCATTTCCTCAGAACTAGAGCAACAGAGGCTTTTCATACTCTTATACCAAGTTAACTTCCGAAAGATTTTTAACTCCCTGTTTCCCAAAGTGTACTTGATTTTCGGGATGACCCACAAAAGCCACACTTTTTTATTAGTTCTCAGCGAACTGATAGTATACGAAGTGAAACCCTTTCAAGTTGTCACTATCTCATTATAAAGTTGAATATATAATATGCTGAAGTACTTAAAAGAGTAAGCATAACTTCCAGCATTACAAATTTTTGTGGGATAGAGTTGCCTGATGTATTAATAAAATAATGTAGTTTAAAACAAAAGGAGGCCGGATGTGGTCTCACACTTGTAATCCCAGCACTTTGGGAGGCCGAGGTGGGCGGATCACCTGAGGTCAGGAGTTCGAGACCATCCTGGCCAACATGGTGAAATCCCGTTTCTACAAGAAATACAAAATTACCTGGGCGTGGTGGCAGGTGCATGTAATCCTGGCTACTCAGGAGGCTGAGGCAGGAGAATCCCTTGAACCTGGAAGGTGGAGGTTGCAGTGAGCCGAGATCGTGCCATTGCACTCCAACCTGGGGAACAAGAGCGAAACTCCGTCTCAAAAACAAAACAAAACAAAAGGAGAGCAAAGTTTTACTTCACAGTCATGGCTGTCCAGTAGATCACTGCCAGAAATTTTTTAGGAGACAAATTTAAGGTGGGTTGTTTCCTAATAGTATGATTGGGTGATAAGAAGGGTTTTTTGTTAAATATTATACTTAAGATGTCTCATACATAATGTGATGTTCAATAATTATGTAATCAAACTACTTTTACTACTTTAATTTTCTCCTTCCCTGTGGCCCATCCTGACGAACTTTCCAGGTGAAAATAAATGATAACCAGAACAAGACAAGTATAAAATAGATTACGTTTATAAACTGCTGTCAAAGATTGTATATTGCTCACTTCCGCAGTTCTTACAGAAGTAACTGGCTTAAGGTTTTTTTTTTTTTTTTTTAAATGAAAAATCTATTTTGGGGGTGGGTAGGGGAATGTTGTAAATGTATGCACATATGTATGTAGATATCAAGTCAAGATCTGCTTCCCTGAAGCTTCTATTCATGTTTTGGGTAACTCCTCTCTGGAACCATGATAAATAACAAGTTTTATTTTTATTGTTTCAAGTCTTCTTCTTCCCAAAAGATGACCCTATTCCTTGAAAGCTATTCCTTACTCTGGCATTCAAGGTCTGCTATTATCTGGTCTCAGTCTACTTCTAATATTATTTTCTAACACTCTCCTTTTTTTATTTTTATTTTTTATTTTTTGAGACACAGTCTCGCTCTGTTGCCCAGGCTGGAGTGCAGTGGTGTGATCTCGGCTCACTGTAAGCTCCGCCTCCCGGGTTCACGCCATTCTCCTGCCTCAGCCTCCTGAGTAGCTGGGACTACAGGCACCCAGCACCACGCCCGGCTAATTTTTTTTTTTTTTTTTTTTTTTTATTTTTTGTTAGTAGAGATGGGGTTTCACCGTGTTGGCCAGGATGGTCTCGATCTGCTGACCTCATGATCTGCCCGCCTCGGCCTCCCAAAGTTCTGGGATTATAGGCGTAAGCCACCGTGCCCGGCCTATTTTCTAACACTCTACTTTAGTTTTCAAAGCAACTACTAAAATATCTTTGGTCTTACAGGCCTAGGCCTTTCCTAACAAATCTTCCTTTCATCTCCGAGCCCTTCCCTATCCCAGTCTTCAAATGGTTAGAAGATAAGGTAACAACAAAACACGGTCTTTGAACTCAGAACTACAATCCAATACCTGGCCCATAGTAAATTCCGGATAAATGACAGCTACTGTTATTCGTATTAAATAAGGGCTAACATTTACTGGGCATTTACTGTGTGCCAGGATCGTCTATTTCCTCTTTTAGTATTTTCAGGGCGATTGTTGTTATTGTATTTTTACTGGTAGGTCCTGAGGGTGTTCAGTAAGGAACTTGCCCAAGGTCACAGGGCCAGGAATCCACAGTCTTCTTTGCCAGGAAGCCTGGAGCTCAACGCCCAAGGTCGCCCACCACGCGGCTGCCCCTGCAGAGCGTCTCTGCGGCTCACGGGCGCTTCCCTCCCGCAAGCTCCCGCAGCCCCGGCCCTGCCTCGCTGATTGCTCTCCGCCTTCCACGGCCGCCATCTGAACCTGGGCTTCAGCTCTGTCCCCAGCCTCCTGGGGACTCAGATTCCCTGACCCTGATCCGAACCAGAAACGGAGACAGACCCCTCGGGTGGCCTTCGAGGCAATCTCTGGGCACACACTGGGTGGCCACCAGCATCTAACAAACGGATGTCTGGACCCTCAGAAAGGGCCAGGGGGTGCGGGGGAAGCGGGGCACACTTTCTGGACGATGCTGGGGCTGAGGCCGGTTGGGCAGGAGATTGCCCCCTGTCTCTCCAGTCACGGGACAGTCCCCTTTCCTCTCTGGGCCAAACTGTAGGGAGTTGGAGCCATCCCTGCGCCCACAGCGTGAGAACGCCCAGGAAGCGCGTTAACGTCATCGCGCCCGGCCAAACGCAGCCAGGGAGGCCGCGACGACGCCATCGCACCCAGGAGGCGGCCACTGCGCCTGCGCGGTCCGCGGCGCCTGCGCACAGCCTGATGCCCGCGGTTTCTTCGCAGGCGGGAAGAACGGCCCTTGCTGACGGGGCTCCCTGGACGACGGTTGACGGAGGCGAGGGAGACCGAGGGCGAGAGTTGTGCGTCGTGTTGGCAGGAGGGTCTAGAGGAGAAAGACTGTGTATTGATACCAAACCGCTCCCACTCCGTGGGCGGGTCAGGAGAGGCCGTTGGAAGAGCGTCTGAACTTGACTGGAGCCTCTTCTCTCGCGCCCCCGTCAGGAGTTGAAACAGGCCGTCATTTTGAGGCCGTGGCTGTTGTGGCTGTTGTGGCTGGTGTGGGTGGTGCGGGTGGTGGGGGTGTGTGTGTGCAGATGGAGCACACTGTTTGCACACTTATGCCCCCAACCCCGTTGCTGACGCCACTGAGGTCCATTCGGAAGCTGGGGTTGCGGGTGGAGGAAGGTCCCCGCCCTCGGGATAAATGGTCCCGCGAGGAGAATGTGACACTTAAAAACTTTTTTTGTTGTTATTGTGCATCCTGTTTGCTTGATCCTAAGAAACACAATAGCCTTCATAAGCCCCTCTAAATATAGGATGTGAGTTGCACTGGAAGAGAAAGTGGCAGAATCTCTGTTGTGGCTCTTAGGATGGCACCAAGAATATTTTCCTTTCCTTCCCCTTCCGTTCCCTCCCTCCCTCCATCCATCCCTCCCTCCATTTTTTTTCCTAGACGAGTCTCGCTCTGTCGCCCAGGCTGGAGTGAGTGGCGTGATCTCAGCTCACTGCAAGCTCCGCCTCCCGGGTTCACGCCATTTTCCTGCCTCAGCCTCCCGAGTAGCTGGGACTACAGGCGCCCGCCACTTCGCCCCGCTAGTTTTTTGTATTTTTTAGTAGAGACGGGGTTTCACCGTGTTAGCCAGGATGGTCTCGATCTCCTGACCTTAACCCCCCCGCCTCAGCCTCCCAAAGTGCTGGGATTACAAGCTTGAGCCACCGCACCTGGCCTGTTTCCCAAGTTTTATTTTTACCAACGATATTTGAAAATTAGCAGCTTGGCCTGACTTGCATTATTGCTTAGTTGTGTATGTGTCCGTCTCTCTGTCTCATTAGGTCGTGAATTTAGAACAGAAGTTACCTTTTCATGCAGTGGGCAAGTGTTTGTTGAATTAGATTGGGGTTGAAATGTGTTAGGGGGCTAAACATGCAAAATTACAGGAGAAATTTTATTGTAAAAGAAGAAAACTAAGGAAAAACTTGTTTCACTTGTTGAAGTTGTGGAAATGGAGTGGAAACTTGTCATTACACTTATTCTGGATATGAAGGGAGGATTTAGTCTTTCTTTTTTTCTTTTCTCAAAATGGAGTCTGGCTCTTGTTGCCCAGGCTGGAGTGCAGTGGCACAATCTTGGCTCTCTGCAACTTCGGCCTCTTGGGCTCAAGCGATTCTCCTGTCTGAGCCCCCGAGTAGCTGGGATTACAGGCACCCGCCACCACTCCCGGCTAATTTTGTATTTTTAGTAGAGATGGGCTTTCGCCATTTTGGCCAGGCTGGTCTTGAACTCCTGACCTGAGGAAGACTTAGTCTTTGGTATTATATAATCCAGGAGTTTCAAACTGATGCAAAGGCAGATGACCTGCACAATGCCTTAAAGTGGGGCGTGGAGGAAGTTCCCAGTGGCTAAATAACTGTGTTTCCTCCCTGGCCTTGGAAGCATGTATGTTTGCCAACGCTGTGGTCCATTTTCTTCTTTATAGATCTGGTTCAGAATTCTCTTTGTGGATGCTGGATTCTGAAATAAATTACATATACTGTGTGAAAAAATGCACATATGTTTAGGAAGCAAGGTTACATTTGCCCTAGTCATAACTTAATTGGAACAGAGTTGGAAAAGTGGATTATGTTGTAAACTCTTAGAAAGCAAAGGACTCCCTAAAGTGTTTACATGATCAGGTTTGAAAGTAGTTTAAAACCATAATTTCAGTAATCACGGGGCTGAGGATTTGGTTTTGTAGTGAGACAATATGAGTTACAAGTTTCTTTCTTTGTAGGTCTGGTGGGACAGTGTCATATTATAAATTTGGAATGCTGAAGAGAAAGTTATAGATTTTGATATTGAAGGAAATGAAGCGAAGCCTAAATGAAAATTCAGCTCGAAGTACAGCAGGTATTGAACAACTTTTTATTTTTAAATTTTCTATATTTTCTATATAGCATATAAAGCTTGTATAGTTTATAGATATAACATTGGAAATAAATTTAAAATAGATTGAACAGTTAATCTAGCCTCTTTTTAGGTCCAAGGAAGTAAAATAACTTACTCAAGACAAAACATTTAGTGGTAGAGGTGAGAGTAAGATCAAACTTTCTTAGATTTATTTTGATGTTCTTTCTACAAGTTCGATGTGCTTGAGTTATTCTGTGCTTTACAACTGAAAACAAAGAAATAGATCTGTTTTTGTTTGTATTTGTGACTCACTTGTTAAAAAATATTTCCAGAAGCACTTCTGTCTTTCTAATAGCTTCTCCTATCATTTTTGCTTTCCCAATTTATTAGTATAAAGACAGAGGGCAAGGATGATGAGAACTAGGGGAATGATGATGCATAATGAAGATAATAGTAACTATTATTTGTGGTGGATTAACTGTATTCAAGACATTGATTATATATATTAATTTATTTAATCTTTACACCAATACTCTGAGATAGGTTATTACAATCATTTCTGTTCTTCGGATGAGAAAACCAAGGCTAAAAGAGGTTAAATAAGTAATCCATGAAGTAGCAGAATCAGAATTTGAACCTAGGAATCTGGCCCTTAGTCCCTGCTCTTAATCGTTATGCTATCAGTGTATGTCATATTGGCACAAAGAGTTTAGGGAAATTGCTCAAGATCATACTCTGAAGTTGTAATTCAAACCTACTTCAAAGTCATAATTCAGACCCGGGTGGTCTGATTCCAGAGCCCACATAATTCTCCCAGCCTTTAATCAGAGAGTTTTCACAGAGTCTGTGTTTGCCTGTAGAACAATTAATGATGACCAGTTAGAGAATGGTACAGTGGCAAGAGATCTGAACTGATATTTAGGAATCTTGGGTCCTATCTGGATTCTTCCACTGACTTGCTTTATAGCAATGCACAAGCTATTTGAACTTCTTTTCCCTTCGAGTTCCCTAAGTTTTAAAGTTTATATTTTGTGACTTTTGGCCTGAATTGAGATCCTGGATCCACCATCTGGAGGAATTGGTAGTAGTATTTATTCTCATTTGGACTGGATATTATTACTCTCTAAGGCATTCTCAAAATGATTGACAAAATATATAATTACAGACGCCTGGGGTGCTTGTTAAAATTGCAGAGTTTTGAGTTCCAGGCTAAATCTATTGAAATAAGGTCTATGAGAGTGGAGTCTAGGAACATACACATTAAGCAGAATTCCAGATAAATCTTAGTCCAATGAAACTTTGAGAACCGAGGCCCAAAAGGGTGTGCTACTATTGTCCAAAGCATGGTTCAGAGTTTGGTTCTTCCTCACCTCTGTTGTACTCTAAAGGTCCCTTGCAGTTGATACGGTAACAGGCAAGCACAGGAGGGGGATAAGGAAAAAAAAAAAAAAAAAGGTGGATTTGGAAAGATTGGGTGATGAGGGAGGAGATGGGAATTACTTCCATACGAGAGGAATTAAAACTGTTAGGGTAGAATAAGAAAAGGTTTTTGAAGAAACAAATTAGGCTATTCAGGATCTTAAAAACAATGGAAAAGTCAATCCAAGGTTATAGAAATCTGTAAGTATATTAGCATATAGAAGTAGATACATTTAAAGTGTGTATTATTATATACTAGTAATTATTTTACAACTAGATCTGCTTATTTGTCTATTATGTACTAATTTATTGGTACATTCAATTTAGGCTGTTTGCCTGTTCCATTGTTCAATCAGAAAAAGAGGAACAGACAGCCCTTAACTTCTAATCCACTTAAAGATGATCCAGGTATCAGTACCCCTTCTGACAATTATGATTTTCCTCCTCTACCTACAGGTAAGAAAATTAATAAGGTAAAATTTTTCAGGAAATACAAACTAGGATTATAGAAAATTGTAATTTATCTCTGAACCCGTTAGCTGAGGTTTGGTGGGTGCTGAGAGGTCTTAATGGTTGTTGTTGACTTTTTACTTTCCTCTGCAAGAGGAATGGGCAGGCAGACATTCTGAAATATACATGGTACATGCTGGTTATATACATTTACATTTTGGGGGCACATTTTAAAAATCATTAACAGGACCTTATACAGCTAGAATTTAAAAATATCTCTTACATGGCAATACTTGTATTGTTAATTTCATCCAGTGTGTTCCCATAGACTTTAATATACTTCTAAATCTGTAATTATTTTGTTTAAAGAAAACAAAATATATAAAAGATATATTTGAAGAATTTTAGGTATGAAGTTCATATGTTTCCAATTTTTGTGTATAAAAATGATAAATTCACATGGATATGCACAGCTGGGCATTTATCTGGTCATACGCCACCATTTAAAAAATATTCCATAATTTATAATATTTTTATAAGTAGTATGAATGTTGACCTTGAAAAACTGAGCTATTCCATAAGCAAATGTGTGTCCTCCTGAAGTACTTCAAGCTCTGACCAGGGTTACCATTTGTCAGAAATAGTAATTTTCCTGTATTGTGTAAGAGATAGGGCCTCATCAGTGTTTTTTTAAAAATTTTTGTCTTGATTCATTAGTCAGTCTGGGATATAATCGATCTTTGAAAAAAAGAAAGAAGACAATAAAGTAGAGTAGAATAGAAAATAACAGCCATGCACTGCATAACAGTGTTTTGGTCAGTCACACCACCTGGGTGATGGTGGTGCCACGACAAATATAATGGAGCTGAAACATTTCTATTTCCTAGTGACATAACGTAGTAGCTGTCATAATGTCATAGCACAGTTTATTTTTTTATAAATATAATTTATAAAATTGGCTACGGTAGGCTACAATATAATATATATATAGTAGCCTAAATGTATGGTTTGTTTAGTCTACAGTAGTGTACAGTAATGTCCTAGGCCTTCATATTCACTCACCACTTAATCACTAACTCACCCAGAGCAACTTTCAGTCCTGCAAGCTCCATTTATGGTAAGTGCCCTCTTAGATGTATTGGTTTTTATCTTTTATATTTTTACTGTACCTTTTCTATGTTTAGATATGTTTAGATACACAAATACTATTATGTTACAATTGCCTATGGCATTGAGTACAGTAACATGTTGCACAAGTTTGTAGCCTAGGAGCAATAGGCTGTAACCTGTAGCCTAGGTGTGTAGCAAGCTGTACTCTCCAGCTTTGTGTAAGTACACTCTATGATGTTTGCACAACAAAATCACCTCGCAACGCATTTCTTAGAATGTATTCTTGTCTTTAAGTGACACATGACTGTGTCAGAGTGTATCACACATATTAAGGATAAGATTTGATGGTGAAGTTTTATATTCTTTTTCCTCCTTTCTCTATCTCTCTGTCTGTATCTCACACATATGCCATGCATATACATGTTCTGAGTTACGATGTATTTCTTTCTGTGGGTGGGATTTAAAAAGTTCAATAAACATTGGATTAGATGAAATTCATGTTACAAAGTTAAAGATACTATACTAGAACTGATTGTAGAAAAGGTACAGATTAAACTATCTGCTTAAAATACAATGAATAAGAAAGACATCTATAAAAATTAATAAAGCAGGCTGTGACAGATTTTCCAACAAAGTATTGTCGAAGAAGTCCATATATTCAAGTTTTCTTCTTCAAGTTTTTAAAGCCCCAAAATTAAATAAATATGAAGTTATCATTTTGAAAAATACTACCTATCTTACTTTTATCTATGTTACTTATATCTTTTGAGATTGGGCCTGGGAAGCTATGAATGCAGAGTTGGCTCCTGTAATGAAAACAGTGGACACTGGGTATGTGGAGAAATACAAACCATTGGATGTGTGTCTGTTACTGACTGATGTTATTCTTCTATATATATCTTAATTTCTCAATTTGAAAGCAAACTATTAATATTTAACAAGACGTATTCCCTTGAAAGGCAAATACCACATTCAGTTTCTCGTCCTCTGAGAAGTCAAGATTCTATCTTTAACTCTATTCAATCAAATACTGAAAGAAGCCAGGGTGGTTGGAGGTGAGTCTACTTAAAATTTCCTCCTTCTTCTATTCCTTCTCATTTTCCTGTTGTCTTCTTCATCCTTCCCTCCTCCTCCACTTCTTCTTTGTTTCTCAGACAGAATTACATTTAGGAAATTTCTATAAATAATAACTATGGCAGTATTAATTATGTTTTATGAAAGAACTTAAGAGAACATGCATGTGAAACTTAAAAAATATGAAAATTTCACAGTGATTATGCTTCAAAAGATTCTTAATGTGATAATGAAATTTCTGATAATATTCATTGCTATGAATTTATGATTTTGCTTATGGGTTATTAATGATTTAATTGACAATAGATAGACAGGAATCACATCTTAGTATTGGTTATATTTAGGAATTGAGAACCAGTTAGAGTGCTCAGTCTTATCCTGTAAGACAGTCAGCTTCAAGGTAAACAGAATGGAAGGAGAAGGAAAAATGGAGGCTGAGATGCATATGCATCTGCAATAGTAGGGGCTCAAGAAGTGAAGAAGATAGTCACAAAGATGGTGAGGGTTCTTGCCATAAGGACCAAAGTTTAATGTTTAAATAGTATGAAAAAATTGATAGAAAAAGAACATGGGTTTTTCTTGGTTGTATTTTAGTAGCCTTGGATAAATGGCAATATTGAAGGAAATAATTTTGGAAATAAAGTGCTGGGAAAACAATACCAAATCAGTCACTGTTAAGGGCTTTGATATGTTATTTCAATAATCCTTACAACAACCTTATGAAGTTAATACTATTCTCATTTTTATTATATAAAGATATCATATTTTTTAAGAAGGGGAAGCTTTTTATATAGTTGTTAATAAATACATTGAAATAATGTCTTTATTTAAAAATTAGTTTTGATTTTATTATTCATGGTAGTTTCCCCAGGACCAGTCCATTAGTTTCTTCATAACAAGGCCTTAAAACTAGGCCTGTTCAGTGGTTTGGGATGGTTCTTAGAGACATTGTTCCAACTGCAGGTGCTAGAAGAAAATCTGTTCTGACAAGCATTAGACAGAGAACTAGGTAACAGATTGTAATCTGGACAAGCAGCCAGTATTGGATATTACGATTTGAATTAATACATGATCTGTCAGACTGTTGGGATACAACAGGAAATCCAGGAGTAGAGAACATTTAAAAATCCATGCAGGCAGTTGGTAATCTGCTGAAGGTTTTTTGAACCAGTTAAAGGTCTAATCCTCAGGTTTAGAGTCCAGGTAGAGTTGCCAGATTTAGCAAATAAAAATAAAGGATGCCCAGTTAAATTTGAATTTCAGGTAATCAGGAATTTTTTAGTATGTGTCACAGCCAATATTTGGGACATACTTTTACCAAAAATTTGTTACTTATTTGAAATTCAGGTTTAACTGGCCATCCTATGTTGTTTCTGGCAGCCTAGACTAGACTTTCTTGGGACATGGAGTTTTCAGGAGCAAAGTACACTCCTATTCTTATAAATACTGTGTTATTAGACACATTATCAATATATATTTCATTCACCAGAATTAGGATATGGACAATTAGTAAGATTAGTAAGGATGAGTTTCTTTGCTAAAGCTCCTACAATAGGCTTTAGACTCTGAGGAGACACTGAGCTTGTACTTACTTAGTAGTTAAGACATCTCAGTTGAGGGGTTGAGGTGATACGAGGACTTCTAACATTTTTAATCTTTTTTTTTTGAGACTGGATCTTGCCATGTTGCCCAGGCTAGAGTGCAATGGCATGATCATAGCTCATTACAACCTTGAACTCCTGGGCTTAAACAATCTTCCCACCTCAGCCTCCTGAGTAGCTGGGACTGACTATAGGTTTGCACCAACATGCCTGGCTAATTTTTAAATTTTTAGTAGAGACGAGGTCTTGCTATGTTGCCTAGGCTGGTCTTGAACTCCTGGGCTCAAGTGATTCCCTCACCTCAGCCTCCCAAAGTGCTGGGATTACAGGCATACACTATTGTGCTCGGTGAGATGAAGGCTTTAGAAACTGAGAACTGAACACAACCTGGCAAACAGGTTCAGGTAAATGCATAAATTTTAACAGAAGATAAGGATTTTTTTTTTCTAAAATAACTTACTATTCTCATTATGAAAATAATAGAATAATTCTAGAAAAAAGGAAAAAGAAAATTATTCATAGTTGCACTGATCCAGAGTTAACCATTAATTTATTTTTGAACAGAAAAAAACAAACCTTTTCACCTTTTTTGAGTCTTATGTCTTTATCCACGGGAAAAAAGTTGAACTAGATAATATCTGAGGTTCCTTCAGTACTCAATATATATTATACATAAAACATACAGTTCTGATGTATTTATGTAACTTTGTGCTGTCTTGTCTATCACTACCACGAAAACCCTTGATTAAGGATTTTACAAATATATGAATTTATCTAACGTGCTTGTGTGTGGAATACTTAGAATGCCTATTGCTCTGATACACCCAGAATTGTTTTCCTATTACACATCATGTCTTTCAACCATTCTTGTTACACAGATCTATTGTAAAAGTTTAATGATCTAAAACAGTATATAACTTAAGTCAGTAATTCATAAAAGGAGGTGGCAGGCCCCCAATATCTATATAACTAAATTTTTAAACTTTTAGGTCTCCTTCAACTTGCTCAGGATGGCCAAAGATACGAGGAATATTTTCTTTTGAACTCTGTTTGCATCTGGAACACTCTCTTGACAATTTCATCCTTGTTACAGTTCTGACTGCAGTTGAATATTGTGTTTTTATTGTTATCTTAAAAAAATTTTAATTAGGGCTGGATGCGGTGGCTCACACCTGTCATCCCAGCAATTTGGGAGTCAGAGGCGAATGGATCACTTGAGGTCGGGAGTTTGAGACCAGCCTGGCCAACGTGGTGAAACCCCGTCTCTACCAAAAAGATGCAAAAATTAGCCAGGTGTGGTGGCACATGCCTGTAATCCCAGCTACTTGGGAGGCTGAGGCAGGAGAATCACTGGAACCTGGGAGGCAGAGGTTGCAGTGAGCTGAGATCCTGCCACTGCCCTGCAGCCTGGGTGACAAAGTGAGAACCTGTTTCAAAAAAAGTGTTTTGTTTTGTTTTTTAATTAAAATTATATATATTTAAGGTGTACAACCTGATATTTTAATGTGCATATACATAGTGACCTGATTTCAGTCAGGCTAATTAATATAGCCATCTCTTCACATAATTACCATTTTTTTCTTGTAGTGAGAACACTTAAGATCTACCTTCTAAGCGATTTTCATCTGTATAACACAGTATTATTAACTGTGGTCCTTGTGCTCTACATTAGGTCTCTAGAATTTACTCATTCTACGTAACTGAAACTTTGTACCCTTTGACTGATAACACCTTATTTCTCCCGCCTCTTCACCCCTGGTAACCACTATTCTACTCTGTGCTTCTATGAGTTTGATTTGTAAAGATCCCACATATAAGTAAGCACATATAGTATTTTTCTTTCTGTGTCTGACTTATTTCACTTAGCATAACATCCTCTAGGTTCATCCATATTGTCACAAATGGCAGGATTTACTTCTTTTTAATGTCTGAATAGTATTCCGTTATCTCTGTATGATACATTTTTTAGTCCATTTATCTGTCACTTACATTGTTTACATATCTTGGATTTTTTTTTTTTTTTTTTTTGGGCGAAGTTTTGCTCTTGTTTCTCAGGCAATGGCAACAAGACAATGTGAGTGCAATGGTGTGGTCTCAGCTCACTGAAACCTCCGCCTCCTGGGATCAAGTGATTCTTCTGCCTCAGCCTCTCGAGTAGCTGGGATTATAGGCATGTGCCACTATGCCTGGCTAATTTTGTATTTTAGTAGAGACGGGGTTTCACTATGTTGGCCAGGCTGGTCTCGAACTCCTCACCTCGTGTGATCCACCTGCCTCAGCCTCCCAAAGTGCTGGGATTACAGGTGTGAGCCACCGTGCCTGGCCCTTTTGGCTATTGTGAATAATACTGCAATGAATCTAGAAATGGAGATGTCTCTTTGAGATACTAATTTCATTTCCTTTGGATATGTCTCCAGAAGTGGGATTGTTAGATTATATAGTAGTTCTGTTTTTAATTTTTTTGAGGAACTTCCATACTGTTTTTCATAATGGCTCTACCAAGTTACATTTCCACCAAGAGTGTACAAGGATTGCCTTTTATCTGCACCCTCGCCAGCACTTGTTATCTTTTGAATTTTTGATGACAGCTATCCTAACAAGTGTGAATTGATAATATATCATTGTAGTTTTGATTTGCATTTTCCTGATGATTAGTGATGTCGAGCACCTTTTTATATACCTATTGGCCATCTGTGTGTCTTCTTTAGAAAAATGTCTATTTAGGTTCTTTGCCCATCTTTAAATTGTGTTGTTTTTTGTTACTGAGTTCTGTGAATTCCTTAAATATTTTGGATGTTAACTACTTATCAGTTATATAGTTTGCCGACATTTCCTCCCATGCTATAGATTGCTTTTTCACTCTGTTGATTATTTCCTTTACTGTGCAGAAGGTTTTTAGTTTGATGTAGTTCTCAAATATTTATTTTTGCTTTTTTTGACTGTGCTTTTGGTGTCATATTAAAAGAAGTCATTTGCAAGACCAATGTCAAGGAGTTTGTTCCCTACATTTTTTTCTAAGAGTTTTATGGTTTCAGTTCCTACTTGGTTTAAGTCTTTAATCCATGGTTGAGTTGATTTTTGTATATGGTGTAAGGTAAGAGTTCAGTTCCATTCTTCTGCATCTGGATATCCAGTTTTTCCAATACTATTTATGGCAGAGACTTTTATCCCATTGTGTGTTCTTCTCACTTTTGTTGAAAATCAGTTAAATGTAAATGTATGCGTTTATTTCTGGACTCTACTCTGTTCTGTTGGTCTGTGTGCCTGTTTTAATACCAGTACCACACTGTTTTGATTACTATAGCTTTTCGGTATAACTTGAAATCAGAAAGTGTGATGGATGCAGCTTTGTTCTTTCTCAAGATTGTTTTGGCTATTCAGAGTCTTTTGTGGGTCCATATGAATTTTAGGATTGTTTTTTCTATTTCTGTGAAAAATATCGTTGAAATTTTGATAGAGATTGTATTGAGTCTGTAGATCACTTTGGGTAGTTTAGACATTTAACGGTATCAATTCTTCAATTCCATGACACAGGATTTTTCATTTATTTTGTCTTCAGTGTTTTTTTTCTTGTTTTTTTTTTTTTTAAATCAGTGTTTTGTACTTTTTAGTGTATAGACGTTTTTCTACCTTGGTTATGTATTCCTAAGTATTTTATTCTTTTTGGTGTTATTGTAAATGGGATCATTCTCTTGGTTTCCTTTTGGGATATCTATTGTTGGTGTAAAGAAATGCTCCTGATTTTTGTATGTTGATTTTGTATCCTGCAACTTTACTGAATTCATTTTTTAGTTCTAACAGTTTTTTAATGGAGTTTTTAGGGTTTTCTACATACAGGATCATGTCATCTGCAAACAGAGACATTTACTTCATCCTTTCCAATTTGCACTCCTTTTATTTCCTTTTCTTGGCTAATTGATTGGCTAAGACTTCCAAGACTAGTTGAGTATTCCTTATCTGAAATATTTGGCATCAGAAATGTTTCAGGTTTTTTTTGGAATATTTGCAGAATACCTACCAGTTGAGTATGCTAAATCTGAAAATTCAAAATCTGAAATGCTTTAATGATCATTTCAATTGAGCATCATGTTGTTGCTTAAAAAGTTTCAAATTTTGGAGCATTTTGAGTTTTGGATTTTCAGATTTAGAATGCCCAGCCTGTAACTATGTTTGAATAGAAGTGGTAAGAGTGGGCATCCTTGCCTTGTACTGGATCTTTAAAAAAAACCTTTCAGTTTCCCCCATTATGATGTTAGCTGTGGGAATTTTGCAGATGACCTTTATTGTGTTGGAGTATGTTCCTTCTATACCTATTTTTTTTTAGAGTAAACTGAATGGATGTTGAACTTTGTCAGATGCTTTTTCCACATCTATTTTTATCTGTAATTCTGCTACTGTGGTGTGTAACATTGATTGTTTTGTGTATGTTAAAGCAACCTTGCATCCCAGAAATAAATCCCAGTTGGTCATGGTGTATAATTTTTTTAAAAAAGATTTCAACTTTCACTTTAAATATAAGGGGTACATGGGATTTGTTACATGGGAATATTGTGTGATGCTAAGGTTTGAAGTATGGATCCTATCACTTCACCCATGTAGTGAGCAGAGTTCTTGATAGGTGATTTTTTGATGTGCTGTTGAATTTGCCTTGCTAGTATTTTATTGAGGAGTTTTGCATCTATGTTCTTTAGTGATACTGGCCTGCAGTTTTCTAGCAGTGTCTTTGTTTGATTTTGATATGAGCGATGCTAGTCTCATAAAATGAATTTGGAAGTATTCCCTCTTGTTTTATGAAAGAATTTAAGAAGATTGGTATTAATTTCTCTTTGAATGTTTGATAGAATTCACTGTGAAGTCATCTGGTCCTGGGTTTTTCTTTGTTGAGAGGTTTTTGATTACATCTTTAATCTCCTTATTATTGGTCTGTTTAGGCTTTCTACCTCTTCTTGATTCAATCTTGGTAAGTTGCTTGTTTCTAGGTATTTATCCATTTCTTCTGTGTTATCCAATTTGTTGTCATATAATGTTCATAATAGTCCCTTATTATCTTTTTTATTTCTGAGAAATCCATTTTGTGTCTCCTCTTTCATTTATTTAAATCTTTTCTTTTTTTTTAGTCTATGTAAGGGGCTGTCGACTTTATCTTTTCAAAAAAATAAGCTCTTAGTTTTTCTTTTTCTTTCTTTCTTTTTTTCTTTTTGAGATGGAGTCTCATTCTGTTGCCAGGCTGGAGTGCAGTGGCACGATCTCGGCTCACTGCAACCTCCGCCTCCCGGGTTCAGGCAATTCTCCTGTCTCAGCCTCCTGAGTAGCTAGGACTACAGGCCTGTGCCACCATGCCCAGCTAATTTTTATATTTTTAGTAGAGATGGGGTTTCACCATGTTGGCCAGGATGGTCTCAATCTCTTGGCCTTGTGATCTGTCTGCCTTGGCCTCCCAAAGTGCTGGGATTACAGGCGTAAGCCACCAAGCCCGGCTAGTTTTTCCATTTTCTAGCAGTTATTGATTTCTAGTTTTATACCATTATGGTCAGAAAAGATACTCGGTATGATTTTGATCTTCTTAAGTGTGTTAAGTCTGATTTTGTGAGCTAACATGTGAGTTATCCTTGAGAAAGTTCCATCTGTGCTTGAGAAGAATATGTAGTCTTCTGCTGTTGGTTGGCAAATTCTATATATGTCTTTTGGGTCCATTTGATCCATAGTGTTGTTCAAGTTCACTGTTTATTGATTTTTCTGTCTGGATGATTTATCTATTATTAAAAGTGGAGTGTTGAGCTTACTTTTTATTATATTGCTGTCAATTTTTCCTTTTAGATTTGTCAATATTTGCTTTATATATTTAGGTGCTCTGATATTGGATGTATTTATATTCACAATTTTTATATCTTGCTATTGAATTTACTAATTTATCATTATATAATGACCTTCTTTGTTTTTAGAGACAACTTTTAACTTGAAGTGTATTTTGTCTGACATAAACTTAGCCAGCCCTGTTTTCTTTTCGTTGCCATTTGTATGGAATATCTTTTTCTATCCCTTTATTCTCAGCTTTTATGTGTCTTTGAATCTAAACTGAGTTCATTGTAGACAGCATATAGTTGGATCTTTAATCCACTCAGCCACTCTTCATATAGGTATACCTCATATATTGCATTTTGCTTTATTGCACTTCACAGATACTGCATTCTTTACAAGTAGAAGGTTTGTGGTAACCCTGCATTGAGCAAGTCTATTGGTGCCATTTTTCCAACAGCATGTGCTCACTTCATGTTTCTATGTCACATTTTGGTATTTCTTGCAATATTTCAAACTTTTTCATTATTATTATATCTGTTATGATGATCTGTGATCAATGATCTTTGGCATTACTACAAATGTGCTGTTAGCAATAGAGAGTTGTAAAGCTGAAATAAATTTTTCTAGACTATGAATAATAAAAGTAATTTCTATAACCATGGGAGAGAGGAAAGACAAAATTGTGTTTCTGTTCTCTATTGAAAATAAAATTACAAAATTGTTGCGTGTGATGGTACCTGTAGTGCCAACTACTCTGGAGGTTGAGGCAGGAGAATCACTTGTGCCCATAGGTTTGAGACTGGCCTGAGTCCAAAAAAATTACAAAATTATTGTCGTATGAAGAAGTGTTCAGTGTAGGAAAAAATTTCTATAAAGGAGTATTAGGCAGTTAATAATTCTAATTTTTTTTTCTGGGTATCGTGATGTTTGTGGTGTTTATAATTTAAGTTTTAATTGTGCTTGCTTTTCTCATTATTTTATACTAACTTTGTACCCGATTAATAGTGTTTCCCAAATTATACAAGCTTCAGGCCTCATAAAACTTGGATTTGTTCCTGGTCAGTAGTGCACCTAGACCTCTTTTTGGATTATTTACCTAAAAAAGGGATGGGTTGTATTGGTTGCCCTCTTGTGATACTTGTGGTATTTCCAGGAAAATTCCTGAGAATTAAGAATTTGTGGGCTGGGAATAGTGGCTTATGCCTCTAGTCCCAGCACTTTGGGAGGCCAAGGAGGTGGATCACTTGAGCCCATGAGTTTGTGGCCAGCTTGGGCAACATGGTGAAAACCCTCTCTCTACAAAAAATAATAATAATTAGCTGGACATAGTGGCACTCACCTGTAGTTCCAGCTACTCAGGAGGCTGAGGTGGGAGGATCGCTTGAGCTTGGGAGATTGATGCTAGAGTGAGCTGTGTTCTCGCCATTACACTCCAGCTTGGGTGACAGAGTGAGACCCTGTTTCCGAGAAAAAAGAAAAATAAATAAAGAATTTGTGATTTGTGACTTGGGCTAGTTTGTTTCCTGTGGAACTCCTAACTAGGCTGCTCAGAAATTATGCTTTTGATTTTGGCCTCATTAGCATCTAGCATAATGTTCTGGTCAACTGATATAACACACTTAATGTTGCTGGCAAATGCTGTGCCAGATTCATTATAGGGCTTTTAAGGTACGCATTAAAACCACAAAATTTCAAATCAAATATTAATAGCTATCTATCCTGCTTATATGTATTCTCCTTGTGATTTAAAATCATTGCTAAGCCACAGTTTAACTTCTTAAAATTTTACTTTGTAGAAAATTTTAAAATTGAATATATAAAGAAGCATGCAAATACCTTCAAAATCTTACCACTTGGATACAACTACTATCATATGAAGGATGCTATCATTTAAAAATATACTTTGTAGTACTAGACTCCGAGTTGGGAGATCTTGTATTTCCTCGGTTCTAGACTTGTGAGTAATTTCCTGTATGACTTTGGACAAGTTAATTCCTCATTAAGGATCAGTCTTCTCATCTGGAAAGATGGTAATAATACATTGTAGGGTTGTTGTGATGTATTTGGAATTTCTAAGTAGTTAGTAATAAAGTGCTTTCTAAATCATAAATTGCCATATAAATGAATTTTTCATTATTGATTTTTTTTTGTAATTAAGAAACCATATAGAAACAAATGCTTTTTTTTTCTTTTTTCTTTTTTTGCACTATTACAGCTACAGAGATGACAACAAAAATACCAGCTTGAAAACTTGGAATAAAAATGATTTTAAGCCTCAATGTAAACGAACAAACTTAGTGGCAAATGATGGAAAGAATTCTTGTCCAATGAGTTCGGGAGCTCAACAACAAAAACAATTCGGAATACCCGAACCTCCCAACTTACCTCGCAACAAAGAAACCGAGCTACTCAGACAAACACATTCGTCAAAGATATCTGGCTCCACAATGAGAGGTCTAGACAAAAACAGTGCATTACAGACATTTAAGCCCAATTTTCAACAAAATCAATATAAGAAACAAATGTTGGATGATATTCCAGAAGACAACACTCTGAAGGTAAATGTTTAAATATCAATTAATGACTTATTTACGTTTTAAAAAATATGAGGTAAATATTTAGAAAACTACAGAGATAAGAGCACCTGAAATAAATTCCATGACATACATTACTTGATTGGCATAAATATTAAGTTCCATTGAAGTGGATGAATGTTAGTTTCCGAAATATTTTCTTAGTGGTGTGAATGACTGCTCCTTTTCCTTTAAAACTTTAGAGTTTTCTACTCAATTCTGACTTTCACTTTACACTCATTTTAAGGATAATGACAGTTTATCCATTGTTTGTGAAGTTACCTAGGCTCTTCATATGTCATTCTAAGTATTTTTCAACAGAGGTCAGCAAACATTTTCTATAAAGGGCCAGATATTATTTTTGGCTTTATGGGTCATACTGTCTCTGTTACAGCTACTCAACGGTACTACTCAACTCTGCCACTGTAACTTGGAAGCAGCCATAAACAATACATAAATGAATGGGCACGGCTGTCCTCCAACAAACGTTTACACAAACAGATGGCAGGTTAGATTTGCACTGCAGGCCAGTTTTCTTTGTGATCAACTTATTATGACCTTTGCTTTATGATCTTATCCTATTTTACCTTTGTAGCCTCATATTTCATAGTCTACTAATTGTCCAATGCTTTAGCTACTTCAGACTCGTCACAGTTCTCTAAACATAGCATACACTCTGTGCTTTGGTTTATATTCTTCCCTATACCTGTGTCTCAACTGTAGTTCCTCTCTACGCTCAGTGCTCTAATTGTTCTTTGTAAATGTTATTTATATATTATGTGTGCTGGTTATTCCTCATCTCTGCTCCCTGGCCCCTTGGCCCACTTGATTCTTCACCTGCCCTTCTCTGTGTTTTGGAAGGCTGAATTGTCCTACGTAGTGCATCATCCTGAGATTGTTTACTTCCTGGCTTTTGCTAGAGGTCAGCCAGCAGGAGTCACTGGTACTACCAATCACAGGGTGGGAGGAAAAGTTGGGTTTTCTCACTTTCTCCTGTCTTAAATGTTACATCACCAGCAGTGGCTGTGTCACTGCATGATGTAGCCCCTTCATGAGTATAGCTTTCCTGGGCTTGATACTTTTATTTTCTCCTCTTGTCCTTTCAACCTAGGAATGGTAACAACTTCTTACAGTCATTAGTTTTTGTTCTGCCCATATGTCTGAAAAAGCAATCTTTTCAGTAAGCCATCGGGGCAAAATTTGTTTTTGCATGTTTTATTTTTTGTTGGAAATAAGATTAATAAAGCATGTTTCACAGTGGTCCTCAATCTTATGTTTCCTTGTACTCAAAATTATACGACATAATCACCTTAGTAACAGTGGTTTACTGTGGCCATAATCATCAACAGGAGGCATGTTAGAATCTTGGTTAGGAGGGGAAGAGGGAAGAAACTACTTGTGTTTTGAAAAAAAATCCCATCATATGCTCTTCACAACCGTCACCCTCACAAAGGACAGTGTCCCCCTGCCTTTGAAAATTAGTATTTTGACACACTGTATTCTTAGTTGATCTTCAAAAATGCTAAGAACATTTCCATCTCTGGGCTTTTATACTTGCTGTTCCCACTGTCCTCATTTAACAACTCACTTAAAATAATAACCCCCATCTCTCTTTCTTTCCGTTTACCTTGTGTGTTTTTTCCTTAAAAAAAAGTACATTTCCTGACATTCTGTTATATGTTTGTTTATTTTATAAATCCTCCACTAGACTATAAAATCTTCAAGATCAGATATCTTGACTGTTTTGTCCATGAATGTTTCCTTAATAGCTATGTTTGGCATGTAGTAGGTGCCCAGTAAACACTTTGGAAACAGATGAATGAATGAGTATGTCTGGCTCCTTCCCTAGAGGCCCCTAGAGTGTGAATGCATTAGGGAAAGGAATGGCCTTACCTATATTTGTCACAGGATCTGGCATATGATGCTTTAAAATATTCAATGAATGAATGAGTGAATGAATACCTATATAAATAATTCTCCTTTTGATTAATTGTCTCTAAGTGCACCCTGGTTTCTCTCCATCGGTAATATAGTAATGATGGCCTTATTTAAGGGAAGTAACTATACTAAAATTTTCAGTAGTTCTTTTTACACACTTGTCCATTGTAAGGACTTAGAATTTCTACATAGAAGGTAAATGAGTATGATGAAAAAAAATTATTTTTCTAATGCTATGTATCTTATTTTTTCAAAAGGAAACCTCATTGTTTCAGTTACAGTTTAAGGAAAAAGCTAATTCTTTAAGAATTATTTCTGCAGTTATTGAAAGCATGAAGTATTGGCGTGAACATGCACAGAAAACTGTACTTCTTTTTGAAGTATTAGGTAGGTAAAATACTTCAGAAATACTTGAGTAATACTCTTTGGACAACAGGTTTTAATGTCTGATTAGTCCTTTTTCTTCCAAATAAAAGTCTGATTTTTACTACTCCCTAAAGTGTATTCAAAGAACTGAAGTTCTAATAATAGTCCCCGTGGTAGATAGAATAATGCTCCCTAAAAATGTCTACATTCTAATTACCAAAACCTGTGAATGCTACCTTATATGGCAAAAGAGACTTTGCAGATGTAATTAAGTTAGTTATCTTGAAATGGGAGGATTATCTTGTATTATTTGGGTGGGTTCAATGTAATCATAAGGGTCCCTTATACAAGGAAAGCACTGAAAGATGCTACCTTGCTGACTTTGAAGATGGAGGGAGGAGCCATAAAGCAAAGAATGCAGGCGTCTTCGAGAAGCTGGAAAAGTTAAGGAAGTAGATTCTACTCTAGAGCCTCCAAGAGGAACACAGCTTTGATGACTCATAGACTTCTGACCTCCATAACTATTAAGATAATGCTTTTGTGTTGTTTTAAGCCGACCACTAAATTTGTGGTAATTTGTAAGCAGCAATAGGAAACTGATACAGCCTCCTCCTTTTCCTTTTGTCCTGTTACATATATATACACACACACACATATATATAGAAATAAATGTAAATATAAATATGTGTATATATAGATGTAGATTTCCATCAGTGCACTCATTTCACATGTTTAACTTTCACCTAAAAATGATTCCAGTTTCTCTCTTGTTACCATTAAGGAAGAAGCTTTATTAAATAAAGTGACATTGGATTCAGTAGAGACTCAGACTTTTTGAGTAAAGCGCACTGTATTCATTTTCAATTGCTGCGTAACAAAGTAATGGAAACTTAGCAGCTAAAAACCACACCCACTTCTTAACTCAAGTTTTGTAGATCAGAAGTCCATGTGGGCTTGACTGCGTTCTATACTCGGTATCACAGTGCTAAAATCAAGGTGTTGTCTGGGCTGGTTTTGTTCAGTTTTCATTTTTGGCTTTTTGGAGGTTTCCATGCCTGTGGCCTCTGGAACTGCCATATACTTCAGGGATTCTTCATGAAGTCCTACTCATGTTGCATGAAGCATATCTCTTAGCTGGTTGACATGGCTGTTACTACTCTATGTTGAAGCTTGACTTAGCTCTTATCTTGTTCAGATCTTACCAGTAGCCATGTAACTGCAATAGCAGATGGTATTCTATTTCATGTCAGTTTTCTGTCAGAGCTAGAATACTGTCAGAGGTAGAACATCTTATTTCAAAGATCTTAAACCCTGTTGAACTTCCCACTAAATTGCTTTTTCCTGTGTAAAGGATGCCTTTGGCTCTCACCTCATTTACAGAGAGTGCCTATTAAAAGGACGTGCTGATTCCATTCATTTCCCCAGGTTCTCTTTGGTGAATTGTTCAGGTTCACTCCAGAATATCCTTTTAAGAATATCACAGTACTCGGTATAAACACCAATAGACATTCTTGTCAAGAAATGAAGGGGGTCCATGCTTTTATATGTGATGGTGAGCTTTCATATTGCTATAAAAATCCTGAGCTCCTAGGCTAGACTCTAAACTTGTCAAAGGTAGATACTTCATTTCACTGCACTTTAGTGTCTAGCACACTGCACAGTATATAGGAAGTCCCTTTCAGTTGCAACCACCCCCATGCAAAAAAAAAAAAAAAAACTTTAGTGGATTTTTATACACTAATAGAGAATTATTAACACAACTGAAAAGTGGCTGGGTTTCTGACTTCAGGCCAAGCTTGATCTAGCTGCTCAAGAGATGACACAGTGATTTCTCTGCGTCCTTCTGGCCTGTCATAGTGTTGGCTTCATCTTAAGGCTCCACACTGTAGTCTCTCCAGAAGCTTCTGACTCTCCCCTTATGGTAGCAAGTTGTTTATTAAATTTCTGTAGACTCTACGTTCTTATACCACACTGTCATATTCTTAGATTTTTCTTCTCATTGCTCTTTCCTAAAAACTAACAAATGAGTCTTTGCATATAACCATTTCTGACTGGGTGACATGCCCATTGCAGAAATCCTGAACTACATAGTTGAGCAATAAAATATGCTGATTGGATTAAGTCAGTCACAGTTCACTCCTGGATCTGGGGATGGGGACAAATCCTATCCAAATAATGTGGCTAAAAATGGAATTTTCCTAAAGGATAATCTGGGTCTTTTTAGCAGAAATGGAGGCCAGCTTCAAAATAACAAATGCCCACTACCAGTACTCAGTAGATGGTTATTAAATAAATGAATAATGCTGTCACTTGATAGTAGTTTCTTGAGATAAACATGAATTACAATTTGCATTTTATAGGGGAAGAAACAGATTTGAAAGTGGTTAAACAATTTATTCAAGGAGGGAATAGGGAGATGTAGGTCATAGGGTACAAACTTGCAATTATGGAGGACGAATAAGTCTAGAGACTTAATGCACAGGGAGGTCTGTGGTTAATATTATTGTATTGTATATTAAGAGTTTGCTAAGAGTAGATTGTAGGTGCTTTATCACACACAAAAAGGATAACTATGGAAGGTGATGGATACGTTAACTTGCTCGCTGTAGAAATGATTTCACTATATGTTTATAAAAGTATGTTGTATGTATATGAAAATATGCTGTATACCTTAAACGTATATAATAAAAATAAAAACCCAGTTTGCTCAAAGTCACAAAATATTAGTAAGTTGAGGTACCTGGGACTTTAATGCATGACTCCTGATTCTAATTCAATGTTCCTTTTTTCATTAAATTATGATGCTTATTTATTACACATGTGCATTTTATTATTATAATGTTGTAGACTGTTGTGGGGATTTAACCACTCTATACTATACATTCTAAGGAAAAAGTTTCAGATGGTCATTTATTATCAATTGTATGAGCTTGGCATATAATCTGTTCCTAAGTTGGAGAGAGTCAGAAGTTTTGTTTTCCTACCTGTAAAACTGCTTGAGAAATATCTTCTCTTCTTAAAATGTCTTCTTTATTACTGTATAAATAGAACTATGAGAGGTTGATATGGATAGTTATTTAAACATCAGCTTCCCTTTGTTAAATTTTATTTGTAGTTTACCAACATTTATTTTTTCTCCCATTTCAATATTGCTTAGCTGTTCTTGATTCAGCTGTTACACCTGGCCCATATTATTCGAAGACTTTTCTTATGAGGGATGGGAAAAATACTCTGCCTTGTGTCTTTTATGAAATCGTGAGTATTTTTAAAGTATTCTTCACAAAGCTATGTCAACAGAATATAAACATGCAGGCTATAATTCAGTTGAACTAGGAATTCTGTTAACAATTTAGTACTTTTAACACTTTGTTTGGTTTTAGTTCTGATATGAAAGTTGTTTATTTGTATAATATTAAGAGCCTACTATGTGCCAGGTACTGTGCTGGGTGTGAGGGATATAAAGTGGAATATAAATGATAAATGGCTCTTTCTCTCAAAGAGTTTGTAATCCCAAGTAGAATGGTACAGAAATGTTACACTGTGGTATGGTGAATGGCATGGTGGAGCTGGGTATGTGCAGGGTGCTAGAGAAGTAGGTAAGAAGGAAGGGGCAGATCAGGGAAAGATTTTCAAAGAAGGTGGTAACTTACCCTAGATCTTTAAGGACTAATAAGAATCAACTAAGCCAAAATGTGTTGGCGAGGGAAAGAAGGATATAGTCTAAGGTAAGGGAGCAGCATATGCATAGACTTGAAGCTAAGAGAGAGCTTCACTTGTTCAGGGAACTGAAAGTAGTTATAATTACCAAAGTGAAGAGTTAGGAACTGATTGGATAAGATTAGTGGTTCTGAAATTGGGGGAAGGCATAGTGGGCTGGGATATAAGGAAGAGGCTTCGTGACAAAGAAGTCTGGAGATTGCAAAGGAGGCTATAGAGCTACACACATTGAGGCTGTATAAGAGCTACATAAACTTTGTAAAGTTTGACCTTAATTCTGACACTGTCCTCAATTCTGAAATCAGACTTGGATTCCAGCATTTACTCCAGCATTTTATAGTTTTATGACTTAAGTAAGCTGCTTAAATTACTTGAACTTCAGATTTTTAAAAAATATATAAAATGGGACGACAAATTCCTACTTCGAGAGGTTGTTAAGGAGATTAAATGATGAAACATGAATATACAGTGCATGACACATAGTAGGCGATCAAGAAAATTGTCAATTCCTATAATATCTTGAATGTGTATTACTTTTATCTAGTCTGATGGTTTTTTAAAAAAACTTTGTTATTGTCATGTACAGAAAAGTGTAAAATCATAACCGTACAGTTTGATGAAGTATCACAAAGTGAATGCCACCCAGGTTAAGAAATAGAACATTGCCATCACCCCCCAAATACCTTTGTGCTTCTTCCCATTCACTGCCTCTTGTCTTCTACTTGCAAGTAACCACTAACCTGACTTTTAATGTCATCAATTAATTCTGCCTGTTTTTGAACTTTGTAAAAACAGTATCACACAGTATGTCTTTTTAAATATGTGATTTCCTTTATTTGACAAAATGTTTGTAAGATTCATCTATATTGTTGTGTGTAGCTGTAGCTCACTCATTTACATTGCTTTGTATAACATTGTGTTGCATGAATATCCCACAGTTTTCTATTTCACTGTTGTTGGGCATTTGGGTTTCTGGATTTTTGGCTGTTATGCATGATGTTCTATGAGCATTCTTGTCTATGCCTGTTATGCATTTGCATGTATTTCTGATTGAAATATACCCAGAAGTAAAATTGCTGGGTCATAGAGCATGTGTATATTCAAATACATTGGTTACTGCCAAAGCATTTTTCAAAGGATTATGTCAGTTTAAGTACTCACAGGCAGTGTGGGAGAGTTGTGGTTGCTCTGCATTCTTACCAACACTTAGTATTGTCCATCTTTTTTATTATGACCATTCTGGTGAGTCAATTTAGTGTTATGTCATTTCTTTACAATTCCCTGGTGAGTAATGAGGTTGAATACCTTTTCATATGCTATTTAGATATATTTTTTTGTAAAGTCTGTTCAGGCATCTTGCTGTTTTCTTCTCGAGTTATTTGTCTTTTTCTTACTGATTCTAGGAATTAAAAAAAACTATTCTGGGAATCAGTTTTCTGTCCATTATGTGCATTGCAAATATTTTCTCATATCCATGGTTTGCTTTTTCCCACTTAATGATGGCTTTTGATAAACAGAAGTTTTTCATTTTCATATAATCCTTTTATCAATCATTAGTCTTTCCCCTTATAATTAGTGCTTTTTGTGACTATTTAGTGAAAGCAATTTCAGAATGCTTTAATTTTATTCATAATTGAGAGGATTTGGAGATTGCTGATCTTTTTCTGATTTACTTGTCTCTAAAGGCATCGAACTTTTGGGTCCCAACTTAAGCTTCAGGTTGGAGTGGGAGTGGTTACTAGAATCTCTTTTCCTTGGGGGCCTAAGATTCCATTTTTCTGCTTCCCAACTATACAAGTCTGTGAAAGCTCTGCTCAGTTTCTTAGACTCTGAACTGCCTTTTTGTAATTTGCAGACATCTCAGGGAGAAAGTACACCCTAAATCAGGTTTCATCTGAGACTCCCACACTATCCTAGACGGGGAGTGGGGGTTCTCTGTGATTCCTCACTGTCTTGATATCTCTCTGATGCTTACGAGGAGATTTTTAACAAAACGTTTCATCCAGCTATCCTGATTGTCATCTGATGAGCTGTTTTGAATCACCCAGTCTGCTGCCTACTGAAAGTAGAATCCTGGGAATCTGATAAAAGAGTGGGTAATTTCATGTGTCATTCAGTCTTTGAATGAGCAACAACTTGCTAGCTTGTAAAAGCCCTACCAATTGAGGGTCTTTCATCTGTTACAGGGCACCATGTGAATAACTATCTTTGTCTTGTTAGCGGTGGGGCCCTGACTCACGTGAAGGAATTTTTACAGCATTTTGAGATAACACATGTTTAGTTGATAATATAAATATTTAAAAAATTGAAATTCAGATGAAGTAATAACTAATTTTTTGATATTTATTTTTTAAAAAACAGGATCGTGAACTTCCAAGACTGATTAGAGGCCGAGTTCATAGATGTGTTGGCAACTATGACCAGAAAAAGAACATTTTCAAATGTGTTTCTGTCAGACCGGCATCTGTTTCTGAACAAAAATCATTCCAGGCATTTGTCAAAATTGCAGATGTTGAGATGCGGTATTATATTAATGTGATGAATGAAACTTAAGTAGTGATAAAAGGAAGTTTAAATAGCATAAATTATAGCAGTTTTCTGTTATTACTTAATTTACCATCTCCATAGTTTTATAGCTACTGTTTTCTTGTATTTCACTTGTTGAATTAAAGTATTTGAATTCTTTTAAACGTGGAGTTTTTGCAGTGTAATTTTAATGTTTTTATTAAAATGATATATTTGCTAAAATCCACAACCATCCTAGGTAAAAATGCTCACTATAACAGGAATAGATGATGCTTATTTAATATGGGATAATAATACATCTGAGTTAGCTCAAAAACCAGCATTGGGCTTAAGGGGGAAATATTAGAGGTATTTTAGAGGTATTTGCATTATCAGGAAAAAGACAAGTGTGCCCACTGTCAGTACTATTATTAAGCATTGTTCTGGAGCTGCTAGTCTGTGCGATTCATTTAATTACGTCAAATATTTAATGAAAATCTGCTTTGTGCCAGGCATTGTTGCAAATGCTAGAGACAAAGTAGCTTACAAAGTAACAAAAATTAGGGGTACCAGAAATGTTGGTGTACTTTGAACCAGGAGCTCATATATCATCATGTTTCTCCCATAACCATGATTCACGAGTCTGGAAATCAAGGAGTGGTAGCAGGGCTGACTTCCTCATTATTAGAACAACTAACGTACCCACGGAAGTTTTGCTCCCTACCCCCACAGTTTTGGGCTCTGTTGAATAACAGACCTTACTTTCGAAAAAGTCTTATTTGTAAGTAGTTTATTTGAGAATTTCACCTCATGCGAAGAAGTAAGGAATAGAGGGGCTGTTAAATAGGGAAGAAGGGAGACCAGTTACTAGGATGGCTTATTGAGTTGGCAACCACTAGGAGGGACTAAGGCATATGTGCATAAGCTCCCGGCACCTGTATTTAAGGGTTGACCAACACGGCAACCATGCCCTTGTACTTTCTGGTTGTGTCTGTGTAAGCACTGGGCTGTTTTTCCATGATTTTCCACTCCATGGAATCAGAGAAACCTTACGGCAGGGCACAAGAAGCAGATGGAATAGGCCTGAGGTAACTGTCAGACCGAATCTATGTGAAGCTGGTCAAAGTCTGCGCAGAATTGGTTATTGCCACCGTGGCTGGAATACACGAGAAGATGGCTGAGAGGATTTGAAGTGGTGGACAAGAAGTGTCTGATACAATTCTTAAGGAAAGAATGTTTTACCTGAAGCGCTTCCATGGTTCCATTCTACTGAAAGTTGAGACTGCCATTTGGCAATTTTGGTTCTTTATGTTTCTGAATCAGTAGGCAAAAAAGGAGTTTACTGTACTGCCTGTGGTACTTCAGTCCCAGTTAACAATGGAAAATTGTGTTTCTCTGCATAATGAGGAAAGGGAAGACCATATCTGATATGCAGAGGATTCTTTTAGCTGTCACTTAGTAAAAGTTAATGGAACACTATTATAGCAACCCAAGAAAAGCTAACACTGAGGATTCAGACTCACAAGGAATGTGGGTTGAATCTAGCTGAAGTTATGTAAAAGGGTACATGGAATAGTTGTGGAAGAAGGAGTCGTAAATGTCAGTTGTGGTCTTGTGATCGGTTTTAGGGTAAGGAAAAGCTAGTATGAGGAGGTAATATGACACATGAAGAGTGGTTGAGATAATGACGGTGTCTAGTTATTAAGGTCTTCCTAGAGAGGTAAGGAGCTAGAAGTAGCTCAAAGGGCTGCAAATGTGAATTTACTTTTCCATAATTGCCTGAGGAAGAATTGAATGTGATCCGGGAGAGTTCATCTTTTCTCTTACTCGTGTCCTTTCACTATGTCTGTATATAGTTGGGTCATGGAAGTCTGATCCTTGTTGATTACCATTTTTCTCTCTCCTAGGGCCTATTTACAGGGAGTTGGGTTATAGTGAGAGATTCTGCCACCTGGAAATATTTCCAAAGCATATGTCTTTCCATAGCGGTCCTCTATTCAAAGACCACTGATGGCTTGTTGTTGTCTACAGGATAAAACCTAAACTCTTACACCCTTAAGATATTTTAGGACATTTATGGCCTGGTCCCTGCTTGCTTCTGTGACTTCTCCAACCATTTTTTCTTCACTTCTCAAGATGTAGGCCCAAACCTCACAGGCATGCTCTCCATTCCCTAAGCAGGCAGTGATTAAGCACCCATCCCTGAGCTTCTCTCCGTTCTCGTGATCCCCCAAAGGGATCAGCAGCTGTAAATAGTCACTGTAAGGTGTAAGGTGTAAGGTGTGATCAGCAGCTGTAATCAGTCACTATTGCCGGACTCTACGCTGATTTGTTCTAGAGAGGTCCTGTGTAATTACTTTGTTTTTAATGAGGTCCTCCAGGATCTAGGCTCCTCCGGGATGCACAGTCCCCTAGGGCCAGGGGTAGGTAGAAAAGGAGATGTCAGAAGGGTGGGTACAGACATAGGTGACGACTACAAAGGCTGTTGCAACCAATAAAGGGGAGGAGGATTTTGGATCAGGGCCCTGGAGTTAACCTCAGACACAGAGTAAGTTGGGCAGGAGGGTGAATAAGCTGGTTCCTTAGTATCCCTACAGCCTGAGGGTCTTGATTTCCCCAGTTGTGTGATGTTCTATAGGATCGTTCTTCAGACATAACTTTCCTTTTCTTCACCTCTGCCTTTCAAGAATTTTCTACATTCCAGAAATATTTTGATTTAATGTTCGCAACTTAATATCTTTCTATTAATGACAGTGTCCATTAATACTATGCAATGTCCTCTCTCATGATTGTAGATTTCAACATAATGACATCTCTATGAGATAGGCATTTAATACAGAGATTTCAAGCCCTCGGCCATATATTTGAATAACTTAAGGAGCTTACTTAAGGCCCCTTCCAGAGATTCTAATTACATTTATTGGGGGATGGTGCCATAATCTCTACTTTAAAAATGTATTATATGTCCTTACTACTCAGTGTGATCCACATAACAGCAGAATTGGCATCACCAAATGTAAAATTTTAACTTTTGAAATGTAGAGTATTAGGCCCTACACCAGACCTATTGAATCAAAATCAGCATTTAACAGGACCACCAGGTGGTTTGTAAGTCAAAGTTTTAGAAGCAGTGACCCATTTTCAGTCCAGACTGAGAAGTATAGATTTACCAGGTGAAGAAGATGAGAGGCATTATTGAGGGAGCAGCTGAAATGCATATTCCCGATCAGTGGCAGCATTCACACGTGATGTCTCTCCGGTTTGGAATTTCTAATAAGACCCTTGACACCAGAGATTGGTCCCACTCATTTCCCAAGGAGGCAGCCTTCTGAGAAAACAGACATGTGAAACTTCGCTTGATGCCATTTCCCTGCAGTACTAGCACAGTGTGTCCAATTGTGAAAACCTGTTAATGTGGCTAGATTAAACAGCAGCAGCAGGGTGAAAATCCCAGCAGTTAGACTCAGCTACATCCCTCTAGGAAAGGAGCTTCTCATATACCCTAATACCCTTCAGCTTGCTTAGCTCAGAGGCGTTCTGAGGTATGGATATCTGGAGAGGAAGTACAGCGAGGTCTCAAGGGTGGATATCCTCGTTCCCTTTCTCCCCAAACTATACAAACTTTCAGATACATTTCTTCATGTCAGTGTAACTGAACCGTGTAGACATCAGCACCAAAACCAAAATGACAGTGTCAACATGTATAATGGGCTGTCTTTTTAAAATAAAGAGTAGGGTGGTTGGATGGTCTAACATTTTCCATAGGTCTGAAGTTTATCTCAGAATTTTGTAATAAACTGTCAAAACTAGTACTAAATGGTTAAGGCTAGTGAATTCTTAATTCCAGGAGGATTTAATAGGAGTAGTTATTCTAACTACAATGGGATTTGACTGCTTTAAAGTTGGAGGGGCCAGGTGCGGTGGCTCACGCCTGTAATCCCAGCACTTTGGGAGGCCAAGGCGGGTGGATCACCTGAGGTCGGGAGTCTGAGACCAGCCTGACCAACATAGAGAAACCCCAGCTCTACTAAAACTACAAAAATTAGCTGGGCATGGTGGCGCATGCCTGTGATCCCAGCTACTTAGGAGGCTGAGGCAGGAGAATTGCTTGAACCTGGGAGACAGAGGTTGCGGTGAGCCGAGATCGTGCCATTGCACTCCAGCCTGGGCAGCAAGAGCAAAACTCTGTCTCAAATAAAATAAAAAATAAAGTTGGAGGAATGTATGTCTCAGCCTGAAGGACAGCTAACAAATACTAATGAAACATTGGCTATATCCAGTCACCATCCCAGGTGCTGGCATTGCTGCAGTCACGAAGGCAGTTATGGCCTTACCTGTATGGAGTTTACAATTTGGTAGGAAACTCAGCTATAAACAAGCAACCAAGGTCATTGAATGCTGCTGGATGAGTACAGGATGCTGTAGAAACATAGAAGCAGGTCTTACCTGGTCTGGGCAGACAAGGAAGATTGAGCTGAGCCAGTGACATGTAATAACCCTGAAGGAGAAGCAGGGGTATGCCAAGTAAAAGGCAGAGAGAAGAAGATGTTACACAGAAGGAACAGCAAGTGTGAACGTCTGGAGGCAAGAAATGATGCCTTCTAAGTCCAGAATTGCTGGAGAATGCTAATGCAAGAGTCACTGTGGGACCAGATGAGGCTGTGGAGGTAGGCATGGGTCAGACAATGAAATATCGTTTGCGTGCTTGAAAGGAATTTTGCCTGTATCTTAAGAATGATAAGAATCCATAAGGACTCTGAGCAGGAGAATGATGATCAGATTTTTGTGTTAGAATGCCACAGTGTGAATGGATTGAAGGCTAGTGAGCGTAGCAGCAGGGAGATGAAGTAAGAGACCATTCCAATAGTCCAGACAAGAAAAGACATCAGCCTGTTGCAGGCTGTGGCAATTGGGATAAGCAGTGGTTGAATTAGAAATAGAATAAAGTGCAGAATCTATATGACTTGCTAGGATTAGATGTTGATCTTGAGAGAAATAAATGAATGAAAGAAAACTCCCAGGTTTCTGACTTGAGCGTGGATTCCTTTTACTGCGATATGAGCGACTGGAGGAGCGGATTGGGAGAGTGGCAGGGTGAGATGAGTTTCATCTGGCATCTGTTAAGCTGTGTATGGTCACGATCCATGGGGAGATAATCAGGAAGCAACTGGTAATACAGTACTAATGATGA